ACGACCACGACCACGACCACGACCACGACCACGACCACGACCACGACCACGACTACGACGACTACTACTACTTCTACTACTACTACTACCACTACTACTACTACTACTACGACTACGACTACGACTACGACGACTACTACTACCACTACTACGTCGTCTTCTTCTACTCCTTACTACTGCTACTACTACTACTACTACCACCACTACCACTACCACTACCACTACCACTACCACTACCACTACCACTATACTACCACAACTACCACTACTACAAGTACTACTACTACTACTACTGCTACTACCAAACTAAACCAGGGTGAATTTCATGCGTAAACGTGTCAGATCTCGGATGACTGTCCTTGCAGACGCATTTCATTCACTCATTGAAAGATGCAGCAGTGGGCATGGCTTTTCTTCTCGCTCCATATACATAGAATATTGGTATATGAATAGACCTCCTGTATCTATAACTCTCTGGTTTCTGTCGTGGTATATCCTTCTAAATTATATCCTCGGCGGTTTCTCTAGTCATATGGTCTCCATCCCTCCTGACTGCTTTTTGTGGCGCGATTTTTCCATGAAGTCCATGTGGGAAAAAGACGTTCTTGGGGTACTTCAAAAGAAAGCACGCTCTTTGCTGCTTTTCATGCACATGGCCGTCGCAAAATGGTTGCACTAACTAACTAACTAACTAACTATTTGACTAACTGAATAACTGAGAAACTGACTGACTAGGTGGCTCACCCATTCAGTAACTCACAAACGCACTAACTAACTAGCTTGGTAGCTAAGTAGTTAACGAGCTAACTAGCTAACTAGCTATCTATTTAACTAACCAACAAACAAACAAACTAACTAACCAAAGAAACAAACAAACAAAACAAAACAAACAAACAAAGTAACTAACTAACTAATTAACTAACTAACTAAATCAGACATAGAGCATCTGTATCACATGGTTCTTTGGATGCACATATTCAAAAGAGATCATCATGTGGAAGAATGTCAACAAAGACGTTATTAACCCCCCACCCCACCCCCCCACCCCATGTGTTTGTTTTTGCTATGTACTGACCCCGGTCGGTCTCACCTAACTGTATATCTTCGACGACATGTTTGGCTCCAGCGTGATAGAAAAGAGACCGCTTGCTTACAAAGCCACGCCGTTCGGCAACCTTCGGTGCACTTCGCTTGAGGACCTCTTGTCAAGGCAGTGTTCTTTCCAAGGGAAACCACTGTTTGCACTCCGTGTCACCCCACCCCCACTTCACCCCAACAAGATATTTAACTTTAATGAACAGTTGTGTTCAGTAACCTCACCTAAATACATGTCAGGTGCAAGAACTAACCAAGTAAGTAGCTCACCCACTCACTAGTTCCAAAACTCACTAACTAACTAGCTTGCTAGCTAACTAGTTAACTAGCTATCTATTTAACAAACAAACAAACTAACTAACTAGATCAGACACAGAGCATCTGTACCACATGGTTCTTTGGAAGCGCATATTCAATAAAGATCATCATGTGGAAGAATGTCAACAAAGACGTTATTAACCCCCGCCCTCCCCCCCCCCACCCCCCCACTTCACCCCAACAAGATATGTAATTTTAATGAGCAGTTGTGTTCAGTAACCTCACCTAATTACATGTCAGGTGCAAGAACTTACATTGTTTGGTGGTTGAGTATCTTTTCATTTTCTCCTACCCCCCACCCAATAGGTTGTTGGTGGTTGAATGTCCTTTCACCTTCACTTTCCCCCTGAAAGTGTGCAAGTGAGTGCTAAGTGCGCAAGTGAGGTAAAGTGCGCAAGTGAGGTTATTTGGGGGTGCGCAAGTGAGTGCTTGGCCTCCCAGAATGTCAGACCTCCAGTCCTCCAAAGGCCAAAACCTTCAAGTCATTTTAGCTTTCAAACACTAAATGGGGAAAACAGATGGGAAAAGAATGAAAGAGAACTACAAGAAGCCTCATGAAAACCTTCAACCCTCCCCCAAGAGCCGACCGAGCAACGAGCGGGTGCAGGCGGCCATCGAGCGGTTTGACGAGTCGCTCTTTGGCGTGAACGTGGACTTCGGCGCCATGAAGGTCACTGTAAGTCGCTCGCCTGCGACGGTGGGTGGGCTTGCAGGAGGGGCATTTTTGGAGTGCATGGTTTTTCTTTCTCCTGGCTGGTGCTCGGGAGAGAGGAAGGAAAGGAAGGAAGGAAGGAAGGAAGGAAGGAAGGAAGGAAGGAAGGAAG